TCCCAGGGACAGGAAGCACCCACGGGGGACCAGGGGACAGTGCAGCCTCGACCTAACCCACCACGTCTGCCACGGGGGCTTCTGGTCATCCTCAAGCCCTGTCCCGAGTGGGTGCCCTTGCTGTGCCCGCTGGAGGCTCACGTTTTTCCTAGGCTGCCCCTGCTAAACCACAAGGGAGAGCCGGGTCTACGGAACCCTCCCTCCGTTCCCAGATGCGGCTGTTTCTCCCTGGGCTCGGCCTCCAGGGCCGCCGGCGCCCCCGACCCACCTGCCGGGCGAGCAGCCTGGCCCGTGTCTCCCCCATTTCTCCATCCATGAAATGGGACATCCTCCATGGTGTTTCTCCCGGGTTGGTGCTTCTAAGGGCCGAGTCACGCTGCCACCTGGAGGGATTGTTCCCCGGGGTGGGAGGAGGAGGGCTTTCGGATCTTGGGGGTCAAGCACCCCGGGGTCCCGGGCGGCCCCGCCTGTCCTGACCGCCTGTCTCGTTGCAGGGACGGGCTGCCCTACTGCGAGGCCGACTACCACGCCAAGTTCGGCATCCGCTGCGACGGCTGTGAGAAGTACATCACGGGGCGCGTGCTGGAGGTAAGCGGCCGGCCTGGCGTCGCGACCTGGCGCTAGATGCAGCGGGGCCTCTGGTGGGCTGTGGCCCTGAGCATACCCCTGGCTCCTCTGAGCTGTAGCCCCCCGCCCTGTCTCCCTGAGCGGCTGCCTCCTGGCTCCTCCCGGCTCAGCTGCAAGACGCCTTTCTCGGGCCCTGCACCAGGCCCCCTCCTCCAGGAAGCCTGCCTTGTGATGCCCTCTTCTGGGCCATGTTACAAAATTCAGAGGGTTGGGGAGGTGGAGAGGACTTGGAGACCTTCCGGCCCAGCCGCCGGCCGTCTAGACTGGGAGCCGGGAAGAGCGAGCCCCGAGGCGGAGGCCGGACCCACCGTCCCACGCAGGACTCTCCACAGGAAGCCCACAGTGTCACCTGATGGGCGGGGTAAAGTGTTTCTTGGTCTAGGCGGTCGTTGCAGGGGCAGGTCCTCAGTGTGAAAATTGCACGTGCACTGGGCTCGGTGTCTCAGCCTGTCATCCCGCGCCTTTGGGAGGCTGAGGTGAGCGGATTGCCTGAGCCCGCGGGTTCGAGACCCGCCTG